TTTTTTTTCAGAGGTGGGACTTTGGCTGGTTTTTCCTTGGCACTTTCGGGTGGTTCGGGATAAGTTTTAGCAATTACTTCGGCTAATTTTCTTTTATTTTCGGCTACTTTATTCATTTCTTCTTTATAATCATCGCTAGAAATTTTTCCTTCTTCTAATTGTTTTTTAAGTTTATTTTCTTGTTCGGCAATTTTTTCGTCGGCCGATTTATATAATCCTCTTTGTTTGGCTAATTCATAGCCTTTAATGGTCATTTGTTTTTTTCGGGCCGGATCCGGATGTCTTTTTCATCATAAAATGGTTTCGTTTTCTTCCCGCAATCTTTTGTCGGCGACTCTGACCAATTTTAGTGCCTTCAATCAGGCCGTCGGCTCCTAGTTTTCAATAAATACTTTTTTGCCGGTTTTTCGCATAAAACGCATCTAAATTTCAACTTTTATCATATGAACATAAATCTTCCCAAGAAACCGGAATACTGATAATCTTTGTACTTTTAAAAAATGGCATGCCCGAAAATCACCTTTGTCATCAAGAGCGAGTTTTAGGCTTTCATACTTGGCGGCCACTTTTATCTCTTATTTTCTTATATTTAGTGGAACCTGCTTTGGTTTTCTCATTATTATCAATTAATTCCACATCTAAATAATAATATTGTTTGTCACCGATAAAGCAATATTTACGCAGTCCCAAAGTTCGCAAAGTCAAGGATTTATTGGCTTCAAGTAATTTAAAGGGTTCGGGCGTGGGAATCCCCCTTTTTTTCACATAAATAATTTTTCAATTAGTTTTACTGGTTTCCGACATGAACCACAATATTTTACTTAAATCGTTGTTATAGTAGAGATTATTTTTTTTCAATTCGGCTCGGCTGAAAAAATTTCAGGGTTCATCAATCAAAAGAACATTATTTACCCCCACAATTCCATCCTCAAATTCACCTAATCAATGCTTTTTCAATAAAGGTAAGGTTAATTTTTGCCAACCGGGGACAATATTAGGGACATTGCTTCATTTGCGACCCATTAAATGGCGAGTTAGCAAAACAATTAACAAAGTTTTTCCTGTTTCTGCTCCTCCTTGAACTTCGATAATTGATTTTTGCCAGATAGGGGCTAACTTAAAAGACAACCATTCTCGGTCAAAACTTCAAAAAATAAAATATTTAATGAGAGAGATAATGGCAAAAAAGAAAAAGGCGATTAATAAGGCTATTAAATAAATAATTAATTGTCAATATCACTTTAACATGTTAATACACTTCTTTTACTTTTGATTTTAAAAAAAATTTTTTCCAGTTTCATTTTTTGGGTTTATGAAGAGTTGCGGGGATTTGGTGATTATTATCTTGGTAAATATCGGTCATTGTTGGCTGTTATTATTCCTCGCCTGCTTTTTCTATGTATTTATCTATTTTTTGCCTAGTATTGCGTTTCTTTATTGGTTTTTCGGGAATAGGACAATCAACGCAACAAAAATTATCGTCGATGGTTACTGCCCCGTTTTTCTTTCTTTTAAGACAAACATCGCAAATTAATCCCCTTGAATAATAAATAAAGGCCGATCAGACAAATAATATAATTACGCTAATTATAATGAATAAAAATATTGTTGATTTTTCCATGACTTTTTATTATTGTTGGTTATAATTTTGTAAGTTTGAACTTTGTTATTCAGTCTTGCCATATTAGGTGGTGGGCCAAAGTTTAAAAAACCCACCATATTAGAACTAGGGGGATTGGCTACCCCCCC